CAGTCCAAACTCCAGCAGTCCCTCCTCCTCTTGCCCTCTTTACGCTGAGTCACAATTTAAGTCAGCTGTTTTGGTGAATGTAAGAGTAAGAGTTAGAGATAAGACCTTAGCGCTGCTGTAAAGAGGAGAGGAGGAGGAGGAGGCTGACAGAGCGGAGAGCCTGATATGGATTCAGCCTCGCTCCACACCTCGGGTCAGCTACAAGCACGGAGCTCTTAAAAGGTAATGTCGGAATGTGCCGAGTTGGCTGCGTTTGTAAATGTGACGGCAGTTAGATAAGTTTTTGTGTTGGTTTGGATTGATGTTAAATAGCCGGTAATAACTGTAATGGGTTAGCACTTTGACAAATGTAGAATCTTGTCGATCATAATGATAATAATAATAATAAAATAATGCAATGGTTTTATATCGAGCTTTTCAGGACACTTAAAGAAGCTTCACATGTCATTATTCTTTCTCTCCATACATGGTGGTGATAAACTACTGGTGTAGCCACAGCTGACCTGGGGCACACTGACAGAGGCATCGGTCCCTCTGACCACCGCAGCCATTCACACCATTAATTAATTGTATACAACCATTAACCATTCATTAGAAATGGTCTGATTGGAGGAACAGCCAATCAGTCTGGCCATTATCAAAACAAATATAACATTTTCATGGCCCCTCATTGAATTATGTCCCCATGCGACTTAACTTCCTGTGGTTGTGTGACTCGTACTCCGGCGATATCATCAGGGGCTCGTGTGTTTAGGCCGGTGGCTAACGGAGAGCCTCTACCTTCTCTCGTGGAGCACAAATATTTTTTTAAAAACAGACTTGTCAGATGTTGCTTAGGACTGCGATTGGTCCAGGTATGAGCTGTGTGGGGGGGGGCGGGGCACTGTGGAAGACCAGATTAGACCAGAAAAGTCTGTTTAAGGCCAACATTATGTGCTTCCGTCATTACCACCACTGTGCTGATGGTTCCTCGGATGGTGCTTCCTCTGTTGCCTTCACCGGTACCCAGCCCTATGTTCTCCGTGGCGTGTGTGTGTCAAATGAAATGTATGGGGGACTTGACAGTGGTTTGGGGTGGGACTGTCTGGCATTTGGCCTGTGGTTCCCGTGTTTGACTGGTCTGTTCTAGAACCATATGTGCTTTATAACAACAGCTGTTCCATCTCATGTAAATAAGCTGCCAACCTTTGCCTCTCCTGCTGACACCCCGATCAAACGCACACACACTGTCAGGGTTGTACAAAAGGGGCTCAAAAAACAGACCCAAAGTCAAAAGGCGCTTTAGGAGTTTATTAGAAAAAGGCTAAACTCACACAACAATTTCTAGATGCAAGAACAAGAGGAGAAATGACAGGAAGGGAGCAGTCAAACTAACTACAAAACAAGATTAAGATTAAGATTAAGAGATCCTTTATTTGTCCCACAATGGGGAAATTTCAGTGTTGCATCACAAGTTATAGAACAGTAGGAAAGAGGAGCACACGTTAAGTGAACAAAAGCTATACTAATTAAATTAAAACAAAATCTCTAACTCTAGCATCAATAATAAATATAAAATCTCTATATTGAAAATAATAATAGATGTAAAAATGTAACATTTGGCAAAATAAGAGGCAAGTATAAAGTACTGTGTATTCTAGTGCAAGTAAAGTGTAGTTATATGTTAGCATCTGTACATTAGCAGCAGTATGTTTACATCTGTACATGTTAGCAGCAGTATGTTTACATCTGTACATGTATGTTTATAACTGTACATTGGCAGCTGTGTATTGCACATTCTGGTATAAGATAAGTATATTGCAACGATGCGAGAATGACACTGTAATCAAGTTTGCAGTGTTCATTAGTCCTTATTGGTCCTTATTGTTTGTTGTACAGTCTGACAGCAGCAGGAAGGAAAGACCTGCGGAACCTCTCCTTCACACATCGAGGCTGAATAAGTCTGTCACTGAAGCTGCTCTCCAGAGCAGAGAGAGTTGATATCAAAATAAAACACAAGGATATGAATGAATGAATGCTTTTTATGTAGCCATGGCAAACAAGAACAAAGAACAACAACAAAACAGCGACAGAGTAGAAAATTAAACAATACATGATAATATACAGCTCGAAAAGGCCAGGGAAGAAGTTGAGACTTTTAAACTCCCACCCCCTATTTATTATTTTAAGTTAATTTAACCTTAATTATGTGGTTGCTACAGCTTAGTTTAGTCAGTGGTATACACACACACACACACACGCACATACACAAACACACACACAAACGTAGGTGAAGCGTGAAGCCCAAGATCACAGAAATCCTTGCTCTAACTCTCCGACCATATCAATTATTCCCCGTACTGTAGATACACAGTGCTTGTTTTGGCTGAAGTATGTGTGTTATTTAGGAAAAAGTGTGCGTCCCTCTGATCATTCATCACTTTAATGAGATGTCCTTTCAGCCGCCATTACCATTGATCAACACGACGCCGCTCTCTGCCCAAAGAATCAACATTATGGATCACACCATTATAGATCCTCTGTGCTCCTTGTGCCTATGACGAAAAAATCAATGTTGATGTTTTGAAATTGTTTTCTGTTTTATTATGTGCTGGTCAATAAGCCTGGTCAGTGGGAGTAGCAAAGGTGCACAGGAATGGATGGTGGGGTAGATGTAGGTACATTTTCTCTTTGTTCTGTGTTGATTTTGTGTGTTTGTTATTGTGTTATGTTTGTTAGAAATATGTTTGGGGATGATTTCGGCATCAACCCAAACCTTCCCCAAGAGAGAGATGCCCCAAGCAAAGCCAATAGTTTAGGGTAAGTGAGTGTTTAGGCCAGTGTGTGTGTGCGTGTGTGTGTGTGTGTGTGTGTGTGTGTGTGTGTGTGTGTGCGCGTATGTGTAGGTGTTGTCCTGTCTTATACCGTTTACTCAGAAACTTAAAATGTCAAACCAGTTATGACCTACAGTGATGAGCAAGTTTCTTTAATAATAATACTGTTGCAATAATACTGTCTCTGAATCATAAAGTATTTCACTACGACTGCATTATTTCTACGTTACTTTCATCAAATATATATTATACATTAACTACAACAAAATGTAGCTTCTGATGCTGTTGCACTTAACTGTTCTGTTCCACATCTTTGTCTCCAACCAACTGAATAATGGGAGTAAAGGTCGGTGGTGGTGTTAGCAGGGACCGATGGCACGGACTGGTTTCCTCGCTTCTGTCAGTGTGCCCCAGGGCAGCTGTGGCTATAGTAGTTGTTTATCACCACCGTGTATAGAGTAAATGACTATAGACAATACTGACATGCGAAGAGTCTCTGAGTGTCCAAAAAAGGCCTTTATAAAACTGATGCATTATAATTCAGAGATAAATAATGATTTATGTTGCAAACTTAACGCACAGGGATACATTCATGGTTTTATGAACTGACTTCATGAATGAAGTCCAGAATTCTTTGGAGCCAGATGGACATTTCTCTCTGAGTTTGAAAATGGAAACACTGCAGAGAGCCGTTGTGGAATGGTGCATGGCTTCAGTGAGATCAAAAAACACTGTGACTTTCAACTGTTAGATTACAATTAAGATAAAGAGATCCTTTATATGTCCCATAGTTGGGAAATTTCAGTGTTGCATCACCAGTCACAGAACTTGACAACGAACCCATATCCATCACAAACTCACACAAATTCCTTGGAACACACATAAATAACTCACTGATATGGAAACAACACTCTCTTCCTCTTCCTCACTCTTCCTCAGGACACTCAGTATAAAATAATGAATATTCTAGTGCAATCTATATACAGTTGTATGTATACATCAGTACATGTTGTTCTAGAGTTAAAAGCAGTTGCCTCAGGTTCTTTGTTTGAATGAATGGGTCTTTTGGTGTCGTGTTTTTTTTGACCCGTAGCATCTCTGAGACTGGAACAAGCCCCGGCGATCCAAGATGGCGCCGTATTCAAATGAATGGTTTGTGCTCAGTGGCGCATGTGCCGGCACGGTCGCTGACATATTAGCGGAAGTGGCCATATCACTCGCTATATTTGGGCATCGTCTGGTCCTCCCAGTTCTGCGCAGTGGATGTTCTCCCATTCCCCACCTCCATGATGCGTTGCGCCAAATACGCGTGTGTGGCTTTCATGCACGTGCACAAAGGGACTCGGCCGCGCTCTGACCAATCAGAACTGCTGATCAGAGCGGAGCTAGAGCGGGAGCTAGAGCGGGAGCTAGAGCGGGAGCCAGACAAGCAGAGTTTGTGACAGTAAAGTGTGGATTTAAAGAAAACCGAAGGATTTAAGAAGAAAAAAAGTTCAGGATGACAAGGGACACTAAAATTCCCACAAAATTCGACCTTTCTGAAAGCTGTAGGTTCTTTGTCAGCTGAGGTCGAGCTGTTTTAATTTACATTGAGTTGTATGGGGAAAATTTCTTGGTTGCCCACATGAATATAATCTGGTTTAGTCTGCAGTACCGCAGAATCCTTCAGCTCCAAGCTAGTAATACCCTATCCAGTTATTATAATAGATCCATGGACTGCATCTAATGAAAAATGTGCCAAAAGCCTCGCCGTTGCACGAGAATCTAAGGACAGTGGTGATGATCCCGGACACTCGACATTCAACAACATTTATGGACTTAATCAACATTTATGGACATTGGTCTTCTGTCCCTTACGGACCAATGTTCACTTTTCATTCATTCATTTTTTTATCTTTGTATTTTTTGTGTTTGAATTGTTGGATTCTTTGATCTGTGTTGGTGAATCAACAACTTCATAAAGTCCTCTGAGATAACTGCCATTTTGATCTAGGGCTATACAAATATACATTTAATTGCCCAGATAAATTTCATGTCTCACACGCAAAATGAAAACAAGTGAAACTGGCTCCACTCCTCAGTACAGTCTCTCACCTCTCCCCCCTGGTGTGTGTGTCTGTGTGTGCATTTGTGTGTGCGTGTGTGTGTGTGTGTGTGTGTGTGTGTGTGTCTCTGCAGGACTGGAGCATGGCAGCCGAGCGGGGGGCCGTGGCAGCTCTCATGGAGGTGATGGAGGTGGGAGGCACCGCCGAGCCTGATGTCCTGGACGTGGACCAGGGCCTGACTCTGGCCTGTATCGGCTTCCTCTGCCTCCTGCTGGTGGCCATGATTGTCCGCTGTGCTAAAGTCATCGTGGACCCCTACAGCGCCATCCCCACCTCCACCTGGGAGGAGCAGCACCTGGACGACTGACACAGCACGCTCACTCATGCTTGCGCCCAATATTTTGACTAGAATCTCCTTCAAGGTTCTAGGTATCTTTTTTATCTCAGAGGGGCATTTTGCAGCAACAGAAAAGCACACATACAAGGAACCAATAAATACACAACAGTATTACAATTATGTGTTTAAAATACCAACGGCAACAGGGATAAAAATCTGTTAGCTCTACATTTAGTGGAGATAGATCTACGGCCAGATGGAAGCAATGTAAACTCTGCCTACAGTAGGTGTGTGGCGTTCGTAGAGATCTGCCGGGCTCTTTTTAGGATCTGAGAACTGTGGAAGCCCTGGAGGTCAGGAAAAGGGACTCCAGCAATTTTGCCGCACGAGCACGCAATACTCTGGAGATGCTTTTTGTTCTCAACGGATAACACACCAAACCAGAAGGAAGGTATAAAACGATTCAATAAAACAAGGATAACATTTTTCATAAAAGTTCTGTCGACATTAAAATTCCTCAGTTAAAAGTACATGCGCTGGTGGGTCTTGCTGCAAAAAGCATCGACCCGGTGACAATAAAATTCAAAGGTGAGTTTATTGTCAATGATGGTACCCAAGTATCTGTACTGATCCACCACTTCGACCAGGAGAGAGTTAAAAGTGACACCATAAACCACTCGAACTCCCAAGGAAATTATGAAAAATTGCCCCAAAAATGTCAAAACTTCATTTATGAGGTTTTTACCTTTTTAATCACTTTTATGAAGTGCTAAAACTGGTGAATATAACTTGAAATGTAGCAAAAGCTGTACAGCTATCTGCTAACAGTAAACAATGTGTTGTTATGGTAACCAGCAATCGCTCTTCTCTGGTGGAAAAACAAGTGGTACCAGAACCAGTCCAGGACCGTTCCGAAACCAGAAAAGCTATTTTTTCAAGGTAATCTTCACATTTAAGGAAATAAAAGATAATTTTGTGAAAGTTGAGAGGACCAAAAGGTACATAAGTGGAGTAATTACACTTCTAAAGCCAAAACCCATCAAAATAACTGCCCTGGGAGTCTTAAAGCTGGCGTATCTAACTTTTGTCAGCATAAATAAAACGCCCACCACAGAGAGTTGTAAAGAGAGTAAAAGTAAAATATTGTGAACTTTTTAGAGTTGAGTTATTGCATTCTTCTAATTAGAAAATGTATTTGTAAACTTCTTATAAAGAGCCCTGTGAGTCTCTCTTTGATGCTTTGTATGAGATTGAAAATGAGAAAACATTGATAACAAGTAAATTATGCACAAGAGTTCCCCTTTAAAGACATGTGAAGCATTTCAAATGTAACGTTTGTCTTAGCATGTGTTGTCAGTGACCAATGATGTCCACATTTCGTGTTTTTGATTCTGTAATGACTCTTTAAAACTGGGAAACAATTGAAATAGAAAATCATGAAATAGGTCTGAAGAAGAAGGAAACTTAATGGACAACTTTCTGGACAATTTGCCACCGAAAGCACAATATGGCTCAGAGAATTTGTGAACATAATGGACCAAGAGATGCAGCATTGTTCGATCCTGGAATGAAAAAAGCATTTATCCAAAAAAGAAGATCATGTACAAGCTTCAGTATGTAAAGCTTCCATTGTCTTGTGGGAAATTACAAGACGATGACGGGAGTTTGGTTTGATCAATCAAAGCTGCACTGCAAAAAAAATTGTAGAATATGAGATAACAATTGCTTGAATCTAGTGTTCATTTTAATCTCTAAACAAGCCGTTTGTCTTCTTTCAAGAACTGCTGCTCATTCCAAGGGAGACAATTCTTATGTAACAGTTGAAAGCCGATCATTTGTCTTTGTCCCATTGGCAATTCTCCTTTCAAGGCAAAAATCTGCTAAAACTTTTTCCGATTTTTTTTGTCATATTTGAGCCATTTTTTACTTAATTTCCATCACTTTTTGCATGGTGATTGGGAATTGCTGCCTTTTTAAATGTTTACACAGCAAAACCAGGAGCGGCGATGACTGAGCACACGCTTTATCGCCACAATAATCCACAAAAACGCAGCACGAGTCCATTCAAATGTGAAAACACTGGTTGAACTTGAAGGAGGAGAGACTTGTTTCTAAGCCATAGACGCCCTCTCCAATCCACATTCCTCCAGAGAGCAGCACAACTTGTAAAGCAAAGTCCCTTTACTCACCTGGATGTAAGATGGCCGACGATCACACAGCACTTCTGCCCGCCTGGAGATCAAAACCCTCGATGTTTTGTATTTATTATTAAGCGATGAACTCTGACAGATTTTGAAATGTTTTTGTAATTCAAAGCAGTAGAATTGACGCATGTCTCAAACTTACAGCTACACTGCAAATATTAACTAAAGGTCTCTAAATGACTTATAAGAGGGAGACCTTTTCTGACTTTAGTTTCCATAAAGTTAAGGCTGAATTAAAATTAAAATGCTCCAAAAGGGTGTAGCATTTATTCCTTAAAACATTTACAAAAATCTTTTATTATTTTTCATTTAAAACAAAACAAAAAACCTGCAGTGATGCCATACTAAATGATCTATTGACTTTTGTATGGCATTGATCAGGAACGTCCAAAATGTTCCTTTTGCCAAGCTTTTAGAAAATAGATGGATGGGTAACATTAGGCAAAGGAGCATAAAAAACTTGAGAAATACCAAGGACTCAGAGGGTTGGAGTTAAAGGGCCTGAAGGTAAAAATGTCAGTAGTGAGAGAGGAGCTGGAGAGGGTCTGAAGGTAAAGATACTGCGCAGAACCCTGGGCTCGAGAGAACTTCCAGCGCAGAAACGTGAATTATTTATTTACGCTCGCCTGATGTACGTCTATAAAGCCCTGAGCCGAAATGCTACACTTACAGATTCTAATGGTGAAAGCATGTTCTAAAGTGCCTATAAATATATGGAGCAGTTATCACTGTTTCAGGAGACCTTTACGTTTGAAATATTTGCACACAATCTCCTGTATATCTGAGAGACTGCGAGGTCTCGGGGTCTCTGTTCTGATTGAGCCGGTGGTCTGTTTTTCAATGCAAGAACAAAGCAAAAGTAATTCCTGCTATTTCTGTGTTCAAATGTGAAAATCAACAATAAAGCTAACCGTGTCTCTGAGTTGTGCGATTGTTGAGGAAAGATCTTTGGGTTTGTGTGTGTGTCATTATTAATGTATGTATTGAGAGAAAGGGAAGAATGGGGTTTGGGTGGTTTCACTTCAATTTCAAACAGACGAATCAGGGGTGTTATTAGAATTGTATATTGAACCAAAATTACTGTAACTGACATTAAATAGTACATACGACTCTGAAGAAATTATTTGCAAGATTACATTTATTTCAGCTGTACAAGAAATGTAGTTAGACCCCGGCAGAACACGGCATGATGATTGCAGAAGTGGGAATGAAGAGACTATGAGATTAAATCCCCCTGGGCCTAGACCCCGATGGTGGTAGATATGGGAGAAAGGTGAAAGAGCTGGTTCAGCTGCCGAGGCATGATGGGGAGGAGGAGGGTTGCTGCATGAATGAAGCTTCCACACAATATGAATCTTGATGCAGGGGCATGCTTGAGGAGCGCAGCGAGGTTAGCAGCCTGAATTTCTGCCTTAGCATCACAACAACTCGTATGGTAAATTAAATCATAATTTCTCTCTGATAATGGATGGTATAGTATCCATCTACTTTCTACTTTTTACTGTTTATTGGCCAACTGTGTATCTCTGGTGTTTCTGGTCTCTCTGGATTCTCTGGTTTCTCTAGTCTCACGGGTCTATGTTCTCTCTCTAGTCTCTCTGGTGTCTTTCTAGTCTCTCTGGTGTCTCTTGTACTTTCGGCTATTTTTACTGTACACTGTCCCTCTAATAATAAAAAGCCTACCGATCCCAATCAGCGGTGGATGGAGGCAGTTGTGAGAGTGCTCCTCCTGGATCTCGGTCCTTCAGACAAGGGCATATTCAGCTCACTGTGCTCCGCTGGGCATTCAAGGTCAGCTCTGATCCTCGGAATGCCACGCACAATATCAAGCTGTGGAATGCATATCAAACAGCCCGTCATCTCCATAACGCCGTCTTTAACCGTGGATCCGTGCTGTCAATCTGCGCCCGAGCTCCACATAAAGAGGCTATAGGGGGAATTAATATGGCTTTGTTTTTATGCAGGATATTACAAGTCGACTGCGCTGTAATGTCCGTGTTGTAAAAACGATAGACAAGTAGAGCCTTTAGATTAGATCCAATCACACAGATGCCAAAACCAGCCACCGCTTTCAGAAAAGACTAGATAAGAGAAGCTTTAGACATTTTGGAGACCTGAGGCTTGCTCTCCCTTCACAATTTGAAAAAGTAACTGATATTAACTTTAATTCCATCTCTAGATGACATTTTACAACTCTGCTTTGTTGTGATATAGAGCAAAGAACGCAATGACACAAATGCAAATACAAATGTTTTATTATAAATCATATCAAAGTTCAGTAACACTGATTGGTAAACAGCAGTAACAGCATGTCTCTGGTCTCTCTCTGGTCTCTCTCTGGTCTCTCTCTGGTCTCTCTCTGGTCTCTCTCTGGTCTCTCTCTGGTCTCTCTCTGGTCTCTCTCTGGTCTCTCTCTGGTCTCTCTCTGGTCTCTCTCTGGTCTCTCTCTGGTGTCTCTCTGGTGTCTCTCTGGTGTCTCTCTGGTGTCTCTCTGGTGTCTCTCTGGTGTCTCTCTGGTGTCTCTCTGGTGTCTCTCTGGTGTCTCTCTGGTGTCTCTCAGCGCTGCAGAGCTGGCAGGATGACCCCAGAGCAGGAGCCAAATCCCACCCTGCGGCCCTGGCCCTCACAGTGACCTGCGCACACACAACAGTGAGTAGTGGGAGATTATACAGTATGTAAAGCCCTCAGTCTGTTTCATATGTAGTACTAATGTCCAATCACTGAAGTCATGTCATGTGTAATACGTTTTCTTTCACATGTCCACATGAGCGGGCAGGGAATCTTGCGGTCCCTCGCCACACGATACTGCGGTTGTCATTATAGTGCTAAAAATATATTACATTTGATGTCCAATCCAAAGAGGGAACCAGCCCAAACAGTCTGGTCCACTGCCCTTATACAGTTCCTTTGTTTAATAAAGGTGCTTGTTTTTGTGCAAAAAAAAATTCTATTCACTGACCTGTGATGATGACCTCGTCTCCGTCCTGCAGGAAGGTGCGGCTTTCCCCTCCCCCCAAGTCGATGGTCTTGGAGCCCCTCCAGGACAGCTCCAACATGGACCCAAAGCTCTCAGGCTCCTGCAGAGAAAGAAGCACACACACAGACACACATTGTATTTTTGAATGACTAACTTAAACAACGTGTGTGTGTGCTTGTGTGTGTGCTTGTGTGTGTGCTTGTGTGTGTGCTTGTGTGTGTGTGTGTGTGTGTGTGTGCTTGTGTGGGTGTACTGACCGGTCCGCTGATGGTGCCTGAGGCCAGCAGGTCTCCAGGTCGCAGGTTACAGCCGTTCACAGTGTGGTGGGTCAACTGCTGCTTCATGGTCCAGTACATGAACTAAACACACACACACAAGTATTTGACATTATTTATTTACTAAATTCGGTTATTGTAAATTACATTTCAAGTTTAATATCTCCTCTAATACAGGATAGTTTCAAAAGACTTAAATCATTGCGGTGTTTGCGATTATTGCGACTATGATGAATACAGTGTACTGACCTTGAAATTGGACCGACAGATGGTGGAAGCCTGAGCCATGGCCTTTCCTGCAGAGGGCACAACATTTAGAAAAACAACTTTAAGTTCTGTGCCACATGTTCCAGTCATAAAAAAGAAACTGTTATGACTGTGTGACAGTTGTAAAAGAGGTTCAGCAGGATAAGTCTTGACTTCAGCCTAAACCCCTTTCGGTCAGGCATTATTTAGCACTAAAATTCTTCCATTTATTAATTTTCTTCCACTTTATCTATTGCTGGATCATGGGGGCAGTAGTCTAAGCAGAGATGCCCGGACTTTTCTATCCACACACACTTCCTCCAACTCACCCAGGACACAAAAATCCTTAATACACGTTATAGTTTCTTTTACTTATTGTAAAATGTGTAAGATCTTTAAAAAACATGTGACCTAAGCTCGAATGTTTATAAAGACCAAGAAAATAAACTACTACTAAACTAAAAAACTAAAACTCAAAAGTCCTCCCACCTTTGATCGCCACGTTCAGGTTGATGTTGAACGTGAACGGGTCCTGGTGCTGGAGGTACGGCAGCGGCTCTGGATCCTGAAGGCAGAGCGTCACAGTCAGACCCAGGCCTCAGACCCAGGCCTCAGACCCAGGCCTCAGACCCAGGCCTCAGACCCAGGCCTCAGACCCAGGCCTCAGACCCAGGCCTCAGACCCAGGCCTCAGACCCAGGCCTCAGACCCAAGTCTCAGACCCAGGCCTCAGACCCAGGCTGCCACAAGTCACCAGAACAGAGAGGACTTACCTGCACAGCGTTGGGCTCCACGAAGGGCATGAGCGCCTCCATGGGGACCACCCACGGAGAGATGCTGGTGCCAAAGTTCTTCCCCAGGAACGGGCCCAGAGGAACGTACTCCCACGCCTGGATGTCCCGTGCTGAGGAGGGAAAAGTCACTTAAACAACAATTCGCAAAAAAGATAAATTCTATTCCAGGGAGGTCACCCAGGGTTGACTAAAGCAACCACATTCAAAATGAAATAACACAAGATACGGTGCTCCTTCTTAAGATTAAGATTAAGAGATCCTTTATCTGTTTCACATCACCAGATACAGAACAGTAAGAATGAGCACAAGATAAATGAACAATAACTTTATACTAAAATTTAAAGACATCTCCAACTTAAAAATAAGCAAGTACACTGCATAAAAATGATTAAATATGAGGTAATGATTGCTTTAAATAAATGTTTTTTTATTTTTTCATTTGAGTACATTTTGAGTGTGTTAAAAAAAACAAGATTTGCCCATGGGACAAAGCCACTTAGTGTTATTTCAAGGTCAAGATCAAGTTTCAAGAAATTTTGCTTTTTTTCTCATTCCAAAGGAGACATTTCTTGTATCTTTTAATAGGAGTTAATTTAGCTTTGTCCCATTGACAAATCTTTTTTTAAGGCAGTCAGAATATACTCAAATTTTGGCAGAATTTGTACTTTTTGCGGTGTATGAGATGCTTAAACGCACTTTGTGACACAAAATCTAGCATCATCACTTTATCAAGGGTGCATGACTTATTTAAATATGTATGTATCTAAATGGAGCGGTATGCCAATGGAGTGGCAGACCGGGGTGGTGGTCCCTCTCTACAAGAAGGGGGACCGGAGGGTGTGTTCCAATTATCGTGGGATCACACTCCTCAGCCTCCCCGGTAAGGTCTACTCCAAGGTACTGGAGAGGAGGCTACGTCCGATGGTCGAATCTCGGATTCAGGAGGAGCAGTGTGGTTTTCGTCCCGGCCGTGGAACACTGGACCAGCTCTATACTCTCCATCGGATACTCGAGGGTTCATGGGAGTTCGCCCAACCTGTCCACATGTGCTTTGTGGATTTGGAGAAGGCGTTCGACCGTGTTCCCCGGGGTGTCCTTTGGGGGGTCCTCCGGGAGTACGGGGTCCGGGGTCCTCTGCTGAGGGCTGTTCGGTCCCTGTATGACCGGAGCCAGAGCTGTGTTTGCATTGCCGGCAGTAAGTCAGACCTGTTCCCGGTGAATGTTGGCCTCCGACAGGGCTGCCCTTTGTCACCGGTTCTGTTCACTGTATTTATGGACAGAATATCTAGGCGCAGCCAGGGGTCGGAGGGGGTCCGGTTTGGGAACAACAGGATTTCATCTCTACTTTTTGCGGATGATGTCGTCCTGCTGGCTCCAACGAACCAGGACCTACAACATGCACTGGGACGGTTTGCAGCCGAGTGTGAAGCGGCTGGGATGAGAATCAGCACCTCCAAATCCGAGGCCATGGTGCTCGACCGGAAAAAGGTGCCTTGCCCTCTACAGGTGGGTGGAGAGGTCCTTCCTCAAGTGGAGGAGTTCAAGTATCTCGGGGTCTTGTTCACGAGTGAGGGGAGGATGGAGCGTGAGATTGACAGGCGGATCGGTGCAGCGTGCGCAGTGATGCGGTCGCTGTATCGGACCGTTGTGGTAAAGAGGGAGCTGAGCCGAAAGGCAAAGCTCTCGATTTACCGGTCAATCTTCATTCCCTCCCTCACCTATGGTCATGAGCTTTGGGTAGTGACCGAAAGAACGAGATCGCGGATACAAGCGGTCGAAATGAGCTTCCTCCGCAGAGTGGCTGGGCGCTCCCTCAGAGATAGGGTGAGGAGCTCAGTCACACGGGAGGAGCTCGGAGTAGAGCCGCTGCTTCTCCACGTCGAGAGGAACCAGTTGAGGTGGCTCGGGCATCTGTTCAGGATGCCTCCTGGACGCCTCCCTGGGGAGGTGTTCCGGGCACGTGCCACCGGGAGGAGGCCCCGGGGAAGACCCAGGACACGCTGGAGAGACTATGTCTCTCAGCTGGCCTGGGAACGCCTTGGGGTCCCCCCGGACGAGCTGGAGGAAGTGTGTGTGGATAGGGAAGTCTGGGCGTCTCTGCTTAGACTGCTGCCCCCGCGACCCGGCAACGGATAAAGCGGAAGAAAATGGATGGATGGATGGATGGATGTATCTAAATAGTGAGTGCCAAGGCCCGTACCACTCCAGTCGTTCATCAGCACCATGCCAAATATGTGTTCGTGGGCCTTCTCCACAGGGATGGGCTCTCCCAGACGGTTCCCCCCGCCCACGAAGAAGGCCTGAAGACAAACCCAGCAGAGAAACCCAGCTTTAATACAGCATTGGTTAACAACCTTTCTACCACTTGGAACAAAGTGAAGTTAGAAAGTGAAAGAAATAGTGCAACATATATCAACTTGTTTAATTTCTCTGATGATTTTTTTCTCTCCACATTTTCTGTCAAAGTTATTTCACAGTTTGAAGTTTACATCTATTTCAACAAGTTTTAAACCAGGACAGAACCAGGATTCCAGGAGAGAACCAGGCCTGAACAAGGACTATACCAGGATTCAACTGGGACTGAACCAGATATGAACTTGATCTGAACCCGGACTGAACCCAGACTAAAACTGATCCAAATCGCTAATGGCTGCTTTCACCTTTGGGTTTCAGAATGACGAAAACAGGAGAACCATTGACAAAGAGATGGAACAAAGTGAACTGATAAAGTGAATTATTAGTGCAACATCAAAGAAGTTTCTTTTCTCTGTGCATTTTTAAGAGTTTCTGTTATTCAAAGTCATTTCACAGTCCGATGTTGAATTGTATTTCTGTTCAGTGTGGAGTCCAGGTGAGTACAGAGGATTCTCACCATCTCCAGCTCGATGTCCAGCTGCTTGGACGGCCCAAACACCGGAGGCTTACCTGCAAGTTTGAGTTATTATTCATCACTTTTTGCCGTGTAAAAAAACAATACTTATTAAATTTGCAAATCTAGTTTCAAGACAAATCAAGCATCAATTATTAACATTTTCCCAGTCTAATCCTTGCAGTCCGTCTGGTCTGCGTATCTGGCTCTGTGACCGTTCCATGCGACTTAAGAGGATGTTTCTCACTCACTCTGGTCGGGTCTCATCTGTCCGCAGGGGCGCCGCAGGGGGGTTCCAGACACCACCACCGAGGAGGCTCTGCCGTGGTAACCGACCGGCAACCGCAGCCTGGAGATGACAGGATCAAATCAAGAGAACCAACTTTATTACAAATACATGGTGAAACTCAGAAAACTATAATATTGTTCAAAAGTTCATTATTTCTTTTTCAGAATCAGAATCAGAATCAGAATCAGAATCATTTTTATTGCCAACGTAAGTAACGGGAGGTCACAGACTTGGAAATTGCTTTGGCTCAGTGCAACAGTCAAAAAGAGATAATAAAAATAAGAATAAAAAACACTTCTAAAGAATAAATTTAAATTTAAAATAGAGTTACAGTTACTATTTACAATATACAAGTGCACATGGTGCACACAATGTAAGGTGACAGCAGTACAGTGAAGTAAAGTGACGTATGATGGGCAGTAAAGTGACTTTATAAAGGGCGGGGGGACAGGTTAAGAAGTGTTCAAGAGTCCAACAGCAGAGGGGAAGAAACTGTTCTTGTGGCGGGAGGTTCTAGTCCTGATGGACCGCAGCCTCCTGCCTGAGGGGAGTGGTTGGAATAGTCCATGTGCAGGGTGAGAGGGGTCGGCTGTGATACGACCAGCCCGGCCTCGAGCTCGGGCGACGTACAGGTCCTGCAGCGATGGAAGGCTGCGGCCGATCACTTCCTCTGCAGAGCGCACAATGCGCTGTAGTCTCTGTTTGTCCCTGACTGTGGCTCCAGCGAACCACACGGTGATGGAGGAGGTGAGGATGGACTCGATGATGGCCGTGTAGAACTGCACCAACATCTGTGCAGGCAGCTTGGCTTTCCTGAGCTGCCGCAGGAAGTACATCCTCTGCTGGGCCTTCTTGATGAGGGAGCTGATGGTCGGCTCCCACTTGAGGTCCTGGGTGATGGTGGTGCCCAGGAAACGGAAGGACTCTACAGAGGTGATGGGGGAGTCCATCACGGAGGGTGGGGGCGGGGGGACAGTGCTCTTCCTGAAGTCCACAATCATCTCCACTGTCTTCTGGGCGTTCAGCTCCAGGTTGTTACCACTGCACCAGGACACCAGCCGGTCCACCTCCCTCCTGTAGGCGGACTCATCGTTGTTGGAGATGAGTCCAATGAGGGTGGTGTCGTCCGCGAACTTGATCAGCTTCACGGAGTCGTGGCTGGAGGTGCAGTGGTTGGTGTACAGGGAGAAGAGCAGGGGAGAAAGAACACAGCCCTGTGGGGCTCCTGTATTTATAATCCGAGAGTCCGAGACATTCTTCCCCAGACGCACTCGCTGCTTCCTGTCCGTCAGGAAGTCAGTGATCCACCTGCAGGTGGAATCGGGCACGTTGAGCTGGGAGAGCTTGTCCTGGAGCAGGGATGGCAGGATTGTGTTGAAGGCAGAGCTGAAGTCCACGAACAGGACCCTGGCGTAGGTCCCCGGGGAGTCCAGGTGCTGTAGGATGTGGTGGAGGGCCAGGTTAATGGCGTCGTCTACAGATCTGTTGGCTCTGTAGGCGAACTGCAGGGGGTCCAGGAGGGGGGAGGTGAGGGACTTGAGATGGGAGAGAACCAGGCGTTCAAATGACTTCATGATGACAGACGTAAGTGCTACAGGTCTGTAGTCATTGAGTCCTGTGATCCTGGGCTTCTTCGGGACGGGGACAATGATGGAGGATTTGAAGCAGGCCGGGACATGGCAGGACTGCAGAGAGGAGTTGAAAATGTCCGTGAACACAGGAGTAAGCTCACTGGCGCAGTGTCTCAGAGTGGCCGGAGACACGTGGTCCGGGCCAGGAGCTTTGCGGGGGTGCAGCCTCAGGAAGAGTTGTTTAATCTCTTTAGCGGCTATTGTTAGGCTGGGGGCAGGGCTGATGGGTGGGTCGTTAGAGTAGTGGGGGGTGGGGGAGGGAGAGGTGTCAGGGGCAGCATCAAAGCGACTGAAAAATAAGTTCAGATCGTCAGCTAGCTTGTGGTCATCAGCACAGGGGGGGGCTTTGGGTTTGTAGTTGGTGATCTCCCGTAGGCCCCTCCAGACAGAAGCAGTATCGTTGTTACCAAACTGCTCCTGTTTTAATTCAATTTAAAATGTGAGACCAATAAATTGTGGACTCAAAGTGAAAGATGCCCAGGCTTTTGTTTGTTATAATTTTTGTGAATATGACCATTCTTTTAGCGGGGCTAAAATTCGGCTGCACCCAGCTGCACCAATGCCCAACATATCATGTCCCTCCATTTTTTCAATAATCTGTTCTACTGTACGTGACGAACAGATCTGAACTGCACCACCATCGCATGATAAAAATCCGTTTAAATTATAACATAAAATAAAATGGAAGAACGCACCAGTTGGGCATGAGGGCGTTCTCTTTGCCTCGGAACATGATCCCCACGTTGGTGGCGTGATCTCGGGACGAGTAGAAGTCTGTGTAGTCTCCTGGAGATAGAACCAAGAGACATCAGAAACACAAGGCATGTTGACGGGACAAGAGTGGACAAGAGTGGACAAGAGTGGATGAGAGTGGACAAGAGTGGACAAGAGTGGACAAGAGTGGACAAGAGAGGATGAGAATGGGCAAGAGTGGACATTAGTGGACAAGAGTGGATGAGAGTGGACAATAGTTGACAAGAGTGGACAAGAGTGGACAAGAGTGGACATTAGTGGTCAATAGTGGACAATAGTGGACAAGAGTGGACAATAGTGGACAAGAGAGGATGAGAGTGGACAAGAGTGGACAAGAGTGGGCAATAGTGGACAATAGTGGACAATAGTGGACAAGAGAGGATGAGAATGGACAAGAGTGGACAATAGTGGACAAGAGAGGATGAGAATGGACAAGAGTGGACAATAGTGGACAAGAGAGGATGAGAGTGGACAAGAGTGGACGAGAGAGGATGAGAGTGGACAAGAGTGGACAAGAGAGGATGAGAGTGGACAAGAGAGGACGAGAGTGGATGAGAGTGGACAAGAGTGGACAATAGTGGACAAGAGAGGATGAGAGTGGACAAGAGTGGACAAGAGTGGACAAGAGTGGACAAGAGAGGATGAGAATGGACAAGAGTGGACATTAGTGGACAATAGTGGACAATAGTTGACAAGAGTGGACATTAGTGGTCAATAGTGGACAATAGTGGACAAGAGTGGACAATAGTGGACAAGAGAGGATGAGAGTGGACAAGAGTGGACAAGAGTGGGCAATAGTGGACAATAGTGGACAATAGTGGACAAGAGAGGATGAGAATGGACAATAGTGGACAAGAGAGGATGAGAGTGGACAAGAGTGGACGAGAGAGGATGAGAGTGGACAAGAGTGGACGAGAGAGGATGAGAGTGGACAAGAGAGGACGAGAGTGGATGAGAGTGGACAAGAGTGGACAATAGTGGACAAGAGAGGATGAGAGTGGACAAGAGTGGACAAGAGAGGATGAGAGTGGACAAGAGTGGACAAGAGTGGACAATAGTGGACAAGAGAGGATGAGAGTGGACAAGAGTGGACATTAGTGGACATGGACACTCACCGATGTGCGCGGGCAGGTGCATGGTGACTTTGCTCTGAGGGACAAATGCTCTGCAGACACAACATCACAACTTTGACTCATGATCAGCGCCAACATACGACATATTCATGCTGCTGTATGTATTTAATGTAGATATTATCCACTAACTTTTTAACCATTCATTTTTAGTAATTGCCAATTAAGGAGAGTCTACGGACAGTAATGACCTGGGACAGGGTCAAAATCATTTTGGTCTGGGGCCAAAAGAATAGAAAATATTTCCTTTTCAACAGTGGCTCAGTTGGAAGAGCATTGGTCTTTGAACCTAATGGTTGTGAGTTTGATCCCCACATGACTCCTGCCATCTGCTCCCACTGATCTCTGCTGTCGTTGTGTCCTTAGGCAAGACACTTAACCCCACTTTGCCTGAAGCCCCCGCTGAAACACCAAAGCTTCATTGATGGAGCAGCCACCCACCCCTGGACCCACCACCTCCATCAGCAAGGGGTGGTTTGACATTACTTTTATTTAACACTTTTTTAATTTTCTGAAAACAAAATGTGTTTATGGTTTGGATTTAAACAAAACTGGACCAAATATGAAGTTTAAAAAATTGTGGCTATAGACCTGGCTCGTAGCTCTCTCCCTCACACAGACCTGGCTCGTAGCTCTCTCCCTCTCACAGACCTGGCTCGTAGCTCTCTCCCTCTCACAGACCTGGCTCGTAGCTCTCTCCCTCTCACAGACCTGGCTCGTAGCTCTCTCCCTCACACAGACCTGGCTCGTAGCTCTCTCGCTCACACAGACCTGGCTCGTAGCTCTCCCCCTCACACAGACCTGGCTCGTAGCTCTCTCCCTCTCACAGACCTGGCTCGTAGCTCTCTCCCTCTCACAGACCTGGCTCGTAGCTCTCTCCCTCACACAGACCTGGCTCGTAGCTCTCTCGCTCACACAGACCTGGCTCGTAGCTCTCCCCCTCACACAGACCTGGCTCGTAGCTCTCTCCCTCTCACAGACCTGGCTCGTAGCTCTCTCCCTCACACAGACCTGGCTCGTAGCTCTCTCCCTCACACAGACCTGGCTCGTAGCTCTCTCCCTCACACAGACCTGGCTCGTAGCTCTCCCCCTCACACAGACCTGGCTCGTAGCTCTCTCCCTCTCACAGACCTGGCTCGTAGCTCTCTCCCTCACACAGACCTGGCTCGTAGCCTCTCTCCCTCACACAGACCTGGCTCGTAGCTCTCCCCCTCACACAGACCTGGCTCGTAGCTCTCTCCCTCACACAGACCTGGCTCGTAGCTCTCTCCCTCACACAGACCTGGCTCGTAGCTCTCTCCCTCACACAGACCTGGCTCGTAGCTCTCTCCCTCTCACAGACCTGGCTCGTAGCTCTCTCCCTCACACAGACCTGGCTCGTAGCTCTCTCCCTCACACAGACCTGGCTCGTAGCTCTCTCCCTCACACAGACCTGGCTCGTAGCTCTCCCCCTCACACAGACCTGGCTCGTAGCTCTCTCCCTCTCACAGACCTGGCTCGTAGCTCTCTCCCTCACACAGACCTGGCTCGTAGCTCTCTCCCTCACACAGACCTGGCTCGTAGCTCTCTCCCTCACACAGACCTGGCTCGTAGCTCTCTCCCTCACACAGACCTGGCTCGTAGCTCTCTCCCTCACACAGACCTGGCTCGGAGCTCGCAGTCGTCCCTCAGAGTGCTGTGATTGGCTGAGAGCAGCGTCTGCAGAGTCCTCCGAGTCTCGCTCCAGGCCTCGTGTCCCAGCGCCATGAAGCCGTTCAGGGTCTCCTGCAGACACAAGGGGGCGTTACAGAGACCCACAAACCTGGTTCTGGTCCTGGTCCTGGAAACTTTTGGACCATGTCTGCACCACAATGTAATGGCAAAAATTAGCATGGTTTAAGCGCAGTATGTGAAAAGTAATGTTAATAAATGGTTTAGAGAGCTTTGTTTTAGGGCAAGATTTGTGAATATATCTAAGCACGGACTGATTTACTATGAAGACCATGACCATCTTCTTTGATGTTTCTGTTTCTCTGACCATGTGGATGAAGTGATCTTATGGAGACAATATCCTCTTCCTCCGTCCTCTGCCCCTGTCCTTTCGACCCCCCTTAACCTCCTTGTCTCTCTCCCCTTCCTTCCTTCCTTCCTTCCTTGAGTTACCTAATTTGGTGTGATCAGTTATGAAGGTGTGACATAGGTTTCTTCTTGTGTCCAATGAGAGACCGGCTCATGGGATAGAGATTCAGAGATTGAGGAGTGGCTGCAAAAGTTCCTCCGTTGCAATGCCTGTTTTTATCATGTACTTTTTAATTTAATTAAAACACTCCAAATACAACTCTGTTTCCATGGATCATTGAGAAAAATTCCAAAACAGGCTGTAAATATTAACGGATATAGTGACACCTATCTCCACCGTTGAAACTTATTTGTGATGACTTTTCCCTCCTGCCGACCTTTTCAAAATGGACACAAGTGGCCCTTCCCGCGGTAAAATGTGAAAAAACTCTTATTTAGAGGAGGCCGATTCATTTGTGCATGCGTTAGATGACACCAGTGTGACACATGCCGTTCATTTAGCACGTTCTAAAGCCCACAGCGGCTAAACTAGACTGGTCCAAAAACAACACTCCCCTCAACATAGACTGCATCTGGAACTTAGTGTTGAGGAAAGATTTTGGAGCAGGCTGTAAACTCATTTTTGAAGGGCAAAAAGGCGCCATGGGAATTCATTGGATAGTTCTGTTTCCTGTACGCCACGCCAGGACTCGCCCCCACTGGTCTGTGTCACGTCTGCGTCACGTCTGCACTGTGTGACGGTCGCTCACCTGCTCAAACACCTCCTGCTGTTTGCCCATGACCGGGCCGCGGAACAGAGACTTGATCACACCCAGGATCAGGATCTGGTCACCGATGGCAACGCCGATGCGATGCCGCGGCTGTGGAGGAAACAAAGGAAGAGAAATCAAATATAAAAGGAAGTGCATTTTACATCTGTGCATCTGACTGGTGACATTACACATTTCTGTCAATCAATTCTGTTCAATGTATTGGTGTGGAGTCCTGAATTAGAACATCAGTCGACTCAGAGGACGATACAAAGTTGTTGATTTGCCAACAAGAGATTTGAAGATTGTACACAGGAAATGCTGCAATAACAAACACATAGAAGCCATTGGGCCATAGGAAGCAGTAAGACCATCCATCCATCCATCCATCTTCTACCCTTTAATCCATTTCTGGGTCAGGGGGGTGGCAGTCAGAGATGCCACCCAAGTCTCATAGCACCAGCCCCTCACTGACCCTCTGCAGGTGGTGAGTCCACAGGAGGACGGCTGCTCTCTGAGTGTGAGCATAGCCTTGATCTTTCAGCGGGGGCTTTGGGCAAAGTGGGGTTAAGTGTTTTGCCCAAGGACACAACGACAGCAGTCATCAGTGGGAGTCAGTGGAGAAGGTGCAGAGGTGGGAATTGAACCCACGACCTTCTGGCCTTAAGGCCAATGCTCTACCAACTGAGCTACTGTCGCCCCAGCATTAAGACCAATGTTCTAAAATGTTCTTAAATGTAATGTCTAAAACAGTTGGAAAAAAGTGAGAAACCTCAGGCAGACCCACATGGTGTAAACTGTAAAAAGCTGGGGTACCTAACTTTTAAATCACTTATTTGCTCGAAATAAACAAACATGAATCTGAAACCACAATGAAAGTTAAGAATTGAACTCGCCCCTACTCTCTAGATCTCAAAACAGTTTGGCACTACTGGATACAGGTATATAAGTTTTCACATCACATGCTTTTTTGAAAAGCAAAAAGGAATTATAGAAAAAGAATAAGTATCTTCCTGCTTTTTTTCCTTCTAAATGTGTCTTCCTCGTGCAGTAAACCAGTACATCTGAAAGTTAGTCTCCATGGAGTTTAAAAGCATGGCTTTAACATTATGGGAAAAGATAAACTACAAATGATACAATATGAGGTAATAAATGCTTGAAATTAGTTTGAGTTCATTCTGGCTGTGGTCAAACAAGATTTGCCAATGGGACAAAGGCATTTAGTCTTATTTCAAGAACCGTTGCATTTTTTTTCATTCCAAGGGAGACATGTCTTGTATTTTTTTTTAAAACAAGATCATTTTGCTTTGTCCCATTGGCAAATTTTGTTTTAAGTCAGTCAGAATGTGCCAAAATAAAAACACGTTTAGCCCAATTTAAGCACTATGACTTATTTTAATCACTTTTTTATCACTTATAAAATGTCTGGACGTCTACCAAACTTGACTCTATCTTAAGCAAAGCCAACCAGATTGGCTTTCAGATGCATACTGAAAGATGCAAAACAATATCACAATAGCCTCCTAAAACCAGATATTGTACTTACATTGTCGGCTGTGGAGAAGACGCCATAGGGAAGGTTGTGGACCGAGAAGTCGCAGTCTGAGGGCACCTGGATGAAGGACATGTCTGCTCCGGCTCCTCTACTCGGGGGCTCTGAGTGAGAGAGTGAGGAGAGACCATGGAGTGTGCACCCAGAGAAACACTTCCAGATGTGAGGAGCAGACTTTGGACCGGCCCGCCTCTCTGCTCCTTTCCAATCAGAGAGCTTTCTGAGGGTCCACCCCCAGCGCACTAATGCAAACCAGCCCAGCGTGACTCAGCAAAGCAAGACCAGGGATCCAGCCTCCTGCCCCTGAGCCTGAGCTGCAGGGAATGGAGCAATGCATGGGGAGGATGGAAAGACATTGTGACAAAAATAATGTTTAGAAAGGCAGGGCTAACTTTTCCACAAAACTGAAATATTCAACATCAAAATGATTTTCTTCTGCATATATGTATTTTGCATATTATTGTTGTACAAGCTGTTATTTTGTAGTTTCAGTTCAATGTATTTGTACATTTCAGACATTCTAGACATCATTCAAATATAATTCTGAAAAAAAAATAGGCAGCAACTATAGGCTATTGTAAGATTGATGGTTCAGAGACACAATGTAGGAGAGTCATGTTGGTGGTTAGGCTAAAAACAGTCTATGGCTAAAACTTGTGAAACATGTCTGCATTCTTATAGTTCTGAGATGTTGATAGCTTGAATAAACATTAAAGTCATCATATTCATGGCTCTAAGTGGCTGAGTGCCATAGCCTCTACATGTTCAGTTTGGGCTTGAATGCACAGTAATAGTAAAAGAATAACATAAATGTCACCGTGCAATTACACAGAACAACCAGCAGATGGCGATACATTCCTGCCACGTTTCAGAAACCAAACTAAAAGAAGTAATCCAGCGAGCTCGGCTAATATTTAACTGAGTGTTTATTGAACACGTTTCCTGATGGTTTAGTTTACCCCTGATCTGTGCTCAATGCCCCGGGGATCCTCTACTGCGGCTGCGCGGCTCCTGGACACTGGAGCGGACCGTAGACACTGGAGCGGACCGTAGACCCGATGGCCGCAGCGGTGCGCGCAGCCAAACAGAGCCTCCGGAGGGAGATCAAGAAGCGGGTAGCGGCTCTGAGTGAGTCCGAGAAACAGCGACAGTCCCTGGCGGTGTGCCACAAAGTACGTACGCCTCTCGCCTTGTCCCAAGACCCAGACACGGACTGGACTTCAGTCTGAGCTCCTGTGCGCTGCGTGCGCGGTGCGAGCACATGTGACATGATCAGGCCACACTCATCAGTTTGAATCAGACTTTAGATTATATTACAATGAAATTCATAATAGCTAATCCCCACCATGTTACTTTGTCACTTTAAAACAACAAAAACAAAACTATTTACATCTCCCCGCCCCCAGTTTGACCCTTTCACTGCTGTGAAAAAGTAAAATTAACAGCAATGTTAGTGGTGCCTCCACAAACTTCACTCACATCACGTGAACACTTTTAACTTATCTAAACGTGTCTATCCTAAAGATGACCGCAGTTTCTTCAATTTTTTTTTCCCTGACAGTCTTAACTTTGCTTTGGGATAAATGAGGCGTATAGACAGAAGATACATACTTTATTTATCGCACAAAGGAAGCTATAGTGGATAGACGACATAGACAAGACTGACACTTAAAATCATATATATATATAAAGTGAATCAGTCCAGAACATTCAGATGCACCATCTCTGAGTTGGATGGAGTTTGGTAAAGTGATAGAGTCATGTCTTTACAGTTATATACCAATGTGATGGGAGACCTCTGGGAACACCAGGTGCCGCAGTCGAGCGGCTGTAAAGTGTCAAACTGTGGTTGTGTCCACAGTTGTGTGTGGTGTGTGTGTTAATGTTTGGTGGTGGACGGTCAGAGGGGCCGATGACAGATACTGGTTGCCTCACTTCTTTCAGTGTACCCCAGGACAGCTGTGGCTACAACAGTAGTTTGTCACCACTGTGTATGGAGTGAAAGAATAATGACATGTGAAGTGTCCAGAAAAACCAGTGCATTACCATTATTATTATTATTATTATTATTATTATTATTATTATTACTATTCACTCCCCCCTCCACCCCTCTGCCCCCCAGCTGCTGTCTCACCCCCGGTACGTGTCCAGTGAGAGGGTGGCGGTGTTCCTGAGCATGGCAGACGAGGTTCGCACAGACTCCATCATCTCACACATGTTCTCTGTGGGGAAGACCTGCTTCATCCCTCGGTACCAACACGGCAGCAGCCACATGGACATGCTGAGGCTGGGCTCCCAGGCAGACATCCAGGACCTGCCCACCACCTCCTGGAACATACAGCAGCCGGCAGAGGACCTGGCCGGGGAGGAGGCACTGGACACAGGTAGGGAACTTTCCATAAGAATTTAAGGAAAGAAACAGGAAGTTATGGGAATAAATTGGAATAAACTGGGAATTTTCAAGGTTGAGTCTTCACTGGGAACTTAAACTTATACTGTACAGACATACAGATGTTCTTCATCTCGGTGAACGATTTACTCTGCCAAAGGGAAGTAGCTGGAACATGGATTTTCCAGGTGCCAAAAGAGTCACTGATTATTCTAGGAGCTCCATTTCAAGAGTCTGGATTCATAAAGAACCTCCAGAAAAGGCAGCTCTAGTCTCTCTCTCTGGCCTCTCTCTATAGCCTCTCTCTCTGGTCTCAGCACTCATAGTCATCTTTCAGAGCAGAGCACCTCTCTCTGGTCTCTCTCTGGTCTCTCTCTGGTCTCTCTCTGGTCTCTCTCTGGTCTCTCTCTGGTCTCTCTCTGGTCTCTCTCTGGTCTCTCTCTCTCTGGTCTCTCTCTCTGGTCTCACAGTCATCTTTCAGAGTAGAAAACTCTCTTTTTTAGAGCTCTTCTTTCTTTGGTTGTGATGCTGCCGAACTTCCATTGATGCTGCAATAAAAATGAGTTTGTGGTGAATTCTCTAAGTTTCCACACTTAGTCACACCCCACCCTTTTCCCTCACAGGAGGTCTGGACTTGATCCTGATGCCCGGTTTGGGATTCGACCTGTCTGGCCGGCGTCTTGGGCGGGGGAAGGGCTTCTACGACACGTACCTGGAGCGCTGCATGGCTCATCCGCGAGGGAAGCCCTACACCATCGCTCTGGCCTACAGGGAACAGATGTGCGAGAGCGTGCCGGTGGACCAGAGAGACGTGCTCATAGACGAAGTCCTGTTCCACGACCAGGACCTCTGAGCTGCCCGCTAGCTGCCTGCCGAGAATGCTGAAAGATGGAGCTGAGAGTAGTACACAGACGCAGAACTTTTTGTGTTGTGCTCAAAAAGCAAAATAAAGAAATACAACAAATGGGAATTTTTCTCAATGTATTTCTTTGTTTCAAACCAGTACAAAATATATATATATCAAATTAAATTACAGGACAACATTTCACATTTCTTGAAATTTTTTTAATAAATAGTTTTTCAAGAAAAAATGATCCTTCTCTCGTCTCAAACAAAACATTTATTGAAACTTGATATTGAAAATAGTATTTTATCCATTCATCCATTTTCTTCCCCTTAATCCATTTCTGGGACGGGAGGGTGGCAGTCAGAGCTGCACCCAGTCCACATAGCACCAGCCCCTCACTGATCCTCCTGCAGGTGGTGAGCCCGCAGGAGCCGAGATCTTTCAGCGTGGGCTTCAGGCAAAGTGGGGTTAAGTGTCTTGCCCAAGGACAGGAGTCGGTGGAGAGTCGGTGGAGAAGGTCTCGCGTTTGGCTCGAAAGTCAAATATTAGATTGAAAACATGTATTGTGTAACTTTTGATAATCAGTTTTCCTCATTTTAACTCTGGAAACATATTGAATGCTTTAATCTTATCTTATTGCAAGAGCCCTGTGAGTCACTTTATGACTCTGTGGAGCTGATTGGCTGAGTGAGGGGTTCTTCTGCTCTTTTTCACTTCGCCGTCAGAAAAAGCTGATATAAAGATGTAACCGAGGCCAAAAATACCAACAGTTCGCAATTTTGAGCGTTGGGATCCAGTAACTCCAACCTTAATTCTTTTATACTACTTTTTTGGGACAAAAGTGGCAGTGCTCCTTCTTTAGACCATTGAAAGAAAAACAAAATATTTGTGTACTACAATGACTTAAGGAGTTTGTATCTTGATTTAAACACATTTCGATGCACGTTTTTTTTACCATTTTTCACGCTGCATTTGTATACCCATAAAATAATTTATTCTAATGTATAAGTGCTCTAAAGTAATGAGGGCACTAAGATGAATTAAAGATATGCAATAGTTGTAAAGATGTGTAATTTTCCTTTGGCGAGAGCGTGGTGTATGTTGGAGACCACTGCTGCTCATGGAGTGAGTGGTGAGTGGACAGAGAGCATGAGCCCAGAGAACAGGAGTGGTCATATTGAGTGATAACACGGTCTAACACAGAGAATTTATGGAGGAGATCAAAGTCAGCCTGACCACACCCTCACTGGAATGCAGCTCTGACTCCTGCTGGTCCCTGGGTTTTGCTCTTACTCAACACTCACCACTCGTTACTCAGGGCTGGACAGAACGCTGCAGAGGTGGGATCCGGAAGACCATCACTATACCAGGCATGTCCAAAATCAGACCTGCGGGTCAATTGCGGCCCCCGCAGCCGTTTTCTGTGGCCCTCTGCCTTCACAGTGTCATTCAGCCAGCTTCAGCTTCACCAATATTCCTCGTAAAGCTCAGAACCTCTGGAATCCAGTTTCCGTTTGCATTATTTGTATAAACTGACATTTGTTGTTGATTGACATTTGTCTTAAGACAAACTTCAGCTCTGTCCAATATGAACCAATATGGAGATGGCACATGTCATTTTAAAGCCCCACAGAAGAGAAATTTCAGTGTTGCATCACAACCGAACAGTAGGAATGAGGAGCATTAAGCAGTACTGGCTTCTTTAAATGTTTTGTCTGATTAAATGAACCTTCTGAGCCTGAGAAGCACACAACACAAGATAAGTGAATATTTAATATGGCACAATTTTATACTCTTTAAATCTTTATCTTTCACTGAATAAATAAACCAAATATATAAATAAATGCACAATCCACCCTCTGGTGGTAGCATAGGGGTATTACAGGCTGATGGAATTATTTCACCAACTGAATATTATTTACATTTTACAACTTGAAATGTAAGTGAATATTCTCATGTTTAATGGCCAACAATAATATGTCTTCTTTAAGTTTCGGATCACACACATTTTTAAGATTAAGAGATCCTTTATTCGTCCCACGGTGGGGAAATTTCAGTGTTGCATCACAAGTTAAAAAACAGTAAGAATAAGGAGCACACGCAACAAAATAAGTGAATATTAACACACAATATTATTACACAACTCTATACTTTAACAATCAAATATAATCTCAGATTTAGCTTAATAAAGAAGCAAGTGGAAAATACTGCTTCCTTCAGTGCAATAAATATGTATATTTCTGTTTCTTCCAATTTGCAGGCGCTTAAATATAGTACTGATTGTGGGGAAGGCACATATTTTTACTTTGAGTTTTGTTTCTTGAAATGATATGTACCTGTAAAAATATATTGCAAAACTGCTCAACAAAAACTACTACTACTACTACCATAAGAAGTACCGCTGTCATGGATCCAACAGAAATCCCTGCGTCACACTGGGGGCAGGGCCGAGTGGTGGATAGCTGTTAAATGCACTCTTCCCACTTTATCTGCCCCGAGTTTCTCTCCGCAGCCAAGACGTTCTATTCCACTGCTCTCCAGGTAAATATACAAACTATAAAAACTATATACACTATACAAACTACACAAAGTATACAAATGACTTCTATCCACTTGGAGTTCCTCTCATGGACCTTTTAGATCTATACTTTTCAGATGAAATACATTCACATACAATCATCTTTGACACCAGCTTCTGTGTAGTACTTTGATTTTCACCATAGCCTTTACACTGCAAAAAATGATAAAAGATGAGGTAATAATTACTTGAATCGAGTGGTTTTTTTCTTAATCTGATAAAAACCAAGAGAGACATTTTTTTGTATAGATTTAAACAAGATAATTTTGCTGATTAACCTATTGGCACAGCTTATTTTAAGGCAGTCACAATGTGCTTTACCCAATCTGAGTAATTGTTGACATATTTTTTGTAGTGTATTTATAGCCGGTGTGCCCATTGAGAAAAGATAATACAAATTCACACTTTTAGCTTCAATCGAGAGGTTAAGACTTTAATTATTTCCAGATAGAAAGACGCAGGAACATGTAGTTCTTAGGACATTTGCACATTTTGATCTAAAACTGTTGTAATTTCATGTTTTTCTAGATGTGTTGTGAAAACTGGCCAACATGAATACAATCCTATCCTGAAATCCACTGAGAATTCAAACTTTTCTATCATATTTCTGTTTAGATTGTGTGTGGTGTGGCTGGGTGTGATCTTTACTCAGGTCTTCCAGGACACCACGCTGATAAAGAGAAAAGAATTTATGAGCGTCTGTGTGCGGACTGGGCGTTCAGTGTCATATATTAACTACACTGGATCAATTACGTTAAGAAATATTAGTCTACTTTTGTTTCTGCAAAACTCAATGCTGCTCATAGAACCTAAGTTATAAGTTATTTTCTACTGCGTCCAAGACCTTTCAGTTGTAGTGGATAGAGTTGGAGTACTTTATTCAACATTTGCCAATGTTTTTGATCATTTAAAGTGCTTTGTCCAGCTGTATCTCCAATTTACTTTTCACATATTGTTTTGCCTGAACAACTCAAACTCTTGACAATTTGATTTGTAGAGACTCAGGTAAAGGTAAATGAAGATAAAATAACCTTTTTATCACTTCAGTTGTAAACAGAGTTGCGATGCGATAGTATTTGTTCTCCTTTGAGCAAAAATGACGGCTCAAAGCGGGAGGAATTGCAAAGAAAGAAAGTAAAACCCTGGGGCTCGGTGTGCGGCCGTCAGAGGACTGAGGGGAGAGCAATAGAGGCTCGCAGATATGAATAACTCCAACATATTTGAATCATGCTAAAAACAGCTTTGAGTGTGTTAATGACAAAGAGAAAATTCTGTAAAACTACTGTAAAACTACTGCAACACGGCCAAAAGATAGATTTAGGTTTTGTCCCCTTTAACATGAAAGCTAAGGATTTTTAGACATAGGATTTTAGCTGTAGTTTCACTTGTCCTTAACGCCTACAATGCATAATTAAACTAAATGTATGTTCTAAGTCAGAGTAATATATGTATACATTTTAGGAGAACCTCAGTCAAGAGTAGTACACACATAGTTCTTCAACATTATCATAACGTAGTAACAGTTTCCTATGAGAAAAGCTTTTTTCCAGTGAAATCATGTTTATTTGATCCTTCATCCATGGCAAATTTGTTAGAGACACTTATCAATTCAATGTAGCCCATAGTGTCTGTTATAGTGTAAAGTTATATACACTTAAAATGCACATACTCTATGATAATAAAAGAAATAATAATGCATCGGTTTTATATAGAGTTTTTAAGACACTTTTTTTTTTTCGACATGTCATTATTCTTTTTATCCATACACAGTGGTGATAAACTGCTACTGTAGCCACAGCTGCCCTGGGGCACATTAACAGAAGCGAGGCAACCATATGTGCCATCAGCCCCTCCAACCATTTACTCACACACTGGACTCATTCTTGGCAATGTGGGTGAAGTGTCTTGCCTAAGGACACAAGGAAAGTTTGGCTCTTTACAGCCACAGCCGCCCCACTGTGGCACCAGGTGTTCCCAGTGGTCAAACCAGGCCCTGCCCTGCACAGCTTCAGAGGTCTGACAGTTCGGCCCTGCATGTGCATGTAGCAGTGGGTGTAATATGAACAGACTGGAGTGAAACTACATGTGGTGAAGTTTGTGCTAAACCACTGCGACCCTGACTTCCTGGTTCTGAGTGACTCATGTGGACGTTATCAGTAGTAACACACCCTGCTGTGATTCCAAAGACGTGTCCTCCTGTCCTCATACGGCTCCTGTGCCCTGCTGTACGAGGACCGAGGTTTGGGACGCGCTCTGACGCCGTTTGTCCGTCTGTGTCTGTGCAGGTGAAACATGGCGCTGGTGTCGGAGTTCCTGAGTCAGCTCACTCTGTCCTACGGAGGGGTACGTCCACTCTCTCTGCAACCACACAGCAATAAGTGATGAAAATTAAAAACAAATTGCTTAAAATGGTCACAATGTACCTTAATTTTAACATATTTTGACTGCTTTAAATCAAGATTGGTCAATGGGACAAAACAAAATTGTTTTAAAAGTCTTTGTCCCATTGGTGAATCTTGTTTTAAGACGGACAGAATGTACTTAAATTAAGATACATTTTGTCAAATTTGAGCATATTTCAACATATTTTTCATTGCTTTTTGCGGTGAACGAGCTCAAATCTCTCCTCTGTACTCAGAATAACATAAAAACGACTCGATTCATGCAATTTTGACCTCAGATTTAGTCATTTTTTGCAGTATTGTGTTCAGATGTTGTGTGTGACTGTCCCCTCTCCTGTGCTGTAGGAGCCAGACCCTAAATTCCCCACAGTGGTGCCAGCGAGAGACTTTGACCCGGCCCAGGACGCCGCCCGCATCGACGCCGCCATCAAGACGAAAGGTGCGAGAGAGAAGACACCTCAGTACTTTTACAAGAACATGTTTTGTTGTTATTTACATGTTTTATTATTATTACTTGAAATACTCGAGTTAGTATCATTGTGAGTAACAGAAAGCCAGAAACTACGGATTTTCTCTGGTAAAAGTTGCAAATAATTTAAAATAGATACTGTAGACAAGCATGCGTATACAGATCTGACTAACATTCTAAAATATAAATACACACAATAGGACATTAACTTTGATTCACTACTGGGATTCAAAATTGGCTATTTTGAGTTTTTGTTACAAGATTGTCCCCTCATCAAAAACAGACCTGAACTTGTTTTTAGATCTATCAGGAACTGCTGCCACAGACATGCATCTCCTCCGCTCCTCTGTAAAACGTCCTGTCTCAGTCCTGTTGTATTCTGACACCATAGAAAAGTTTTGTCTATTTGAAATCATGTTTTTTGTAATCATATGGCAGCGGTCAAAGTTAAAGATCAATGATATAATAATGATATATCATATTTTAATACATGAAATAACAAAGTACACTACAAAAAATGATAAAATATAAGGTAATAATTGCTTGAAATTTGTTTTTCTTGCCATTGGGACAAAGCCATTTAGTGAAGAGCGGGTTGAGGAGCAGTGATGTGTGCCGATCAGTGGGGGCGGGTCCCGGCTCAAAAAGGTCCGTGAGCACGTGAGCTGACATGCCTGTCATCTGACCCCTTGCCGGTGGTGTTGTACCCGGAAACAGAATTATCCAATGAGTTCTTATGAAGCCTTTTTCCTTATCAAAAACATATTTAGAGCCGGGTCCAAAAGTTGACTCTTGGCTCAATGCTACGTTCCAGATGCTGTCAATGCTGAGGGGAGTTTTTTTTTTGACCAGTCTCGTTTAGCCGCTGTGGACTATTAAATGCGCTTATTCAATGAACGGCATGTGTCAGGCTCGTGCAGCAAACGCATGCACGCATGATGCATCCTCTGCTCCAATAGTGTTTTTTCACCATTTTCCTGAGGGGGGCTGCTCGCAGCCATTTTGAAAACATCCATGGGGATCACACATACGTTTCAATCATAGACTGTATATATTAACGGACAGAGTCACGCCTATCTCTGCCGTTCTAACTAATGGGCCAAAAAATGTGCTCTACTGGAGCAATCCAAAATGGGCGTGAGTGGTCCCGCCCACAAGAAAATTGTGAAAAAACGCATCTGCGTATGCGTCAGCCGGCGCAACTCCATTCATTTGAACGAGAGACTTCAAAAATTCACAGCAAGTAAACTAGAGTTGACCAAAAAAACCATCCCCCTCAGCATTGACACACATGTGGAACGGAGCTTTGGGCCAAGAGCCAACTTTTGGTCCATCCTGTAAAGACATGCTATATGTTAGCATTGGCTAATTCTTCTTCTGGGTCCACCCCCATCGGCCCGGGGTGGTATTGCAGCATGTCAGCGCACGTCAAGTTGGCCACTTTTGAGCTGGGACCCGCCCCCACTGGTTTCAATGGGAGAAAGAGGCGTCGCTTAGATCCAATAATATTTACAGTCTATGGTACAGATCCCTCATGCGTATATAGATAAAGATGACTTACGTACTTACTGTGTGCCCTGTGTGTGTCACTGTGTGTGTCACTGTGTGTGTCACTGTGTGTGTCACTGTGTGTGTCCCTGTGTGTGTCCCTGTGTGTGTCCCTGTGTGTGTCCCTGTGTGCTGCAGGTGTGGACGAGCAGACCATCGTGGACGTCCTGACCTGTCGCAGCTGGGAGCAACGCAAAGAGATCTGCTTTGAGTATGAACGATTCGCTAAGAAGGTACAGCTCTCTGACACAAGCTCCTGTCATGTCTCGATGAACTGACTTTGTACGTGTATGTTTGTGTAGGACCTGGCGGTTGCCCTGAAGGCAGCACTCTCCGGTTCTCTGGAGGCTCTGATGCTGGGTCTGCTCAAGAGCCCCACAGAGTATGATGCTTCTGAGCTGATGTCCTCCATGAAGGTGAAGCTGCTCCTAACATACAAAAGTGTTGTGTTCAGAAGCTGCACACAAGTGTTGAAGGCCACAGAGGTCAAAGGTCTAAGTGTGTGTTCTCTCAGGGGCTGGGCACAGACGAGGAGACTCTCATCGAGATGGTCTGTTCCAGAACCAACGTGGAGATGGCCAATATCAAGAAGGTCTACAGAGACAGTGAGTCCTACCACCGTTATGATCAGCTGGAGATGTTGTCGCATATGTATTTGTGATGAAAAAAATACATAAATATTCAACTATGTCAACCTTGAAGTAGAGCCACTGCTCCTCCTCCACGTCAAGAGGAACCAGGTGGCTCAGGCATGTGTTCTGGATGCCCCCCTGGATGCCTCCAGAGTGTGTAAAACCCAGGACTCTCTGGAGGCAGTGTCTCAACATTCACCACTCGGAAACTAAGATTAAGATGGGAAATGTCAGTGTTGCAAGTGAGGGGGTGTGGCAGGGGGCCGTAGGACAGTTTTTTCTTCTATAATTAGACAAGGCAACGTAGGAAAACAGACACATAGGAGCTTTTTGCTGCTTCAATACAGCATATGCCTTGTATAGTTAGTTTGAATGAGTTCAATATATTCAACAATGAGGAGGATTAAGCGGCTGTTATCAATATTATTATTATTAGTATTATAGTGACGACAGTGGAGTCACTCTGGGATCAACACAAGCCACGCCCAAGATGAAATTTCTGATCAATAACTGCATAAATAGGACAAATATAGTACTTTTTAACAATATTTGAGGCGAGAAATTTGAACCCGTATTGCCATTGCAGTGACAATAAGATTAATGGAGGTTCTTAATGGAGATATTTACTTCCTGTCCCTCAGAGGACGTCAGGGCAACCCAGCAATATTTACCTTTAAGTATGGACATTTATCAACACTTAAGGACATTGGCCATCTGCCCCTTATGAACATAATAACAATGTGTTTTCTGTTAGATTTCTTGTGTTTGAACTATTTGATTCTCTGATCTGTTTTGGCGAATTCAACGGTTGTGTAAAGTCCTACGAGATAACTACTGTTGTGATTTAGGGCTATACAAGAATACATTGAATTGAATTGAATTTCAATGTATTTACAAATGTATTTCTATTTACACTTTGTCAGCTCAAAATGGAGTGGGAAAGAAGGAAAAACGTGTAGACTCCCACTCCAGTGGAATGAGTGAAGCGTCCACAGGCCTGGGAACAAACACGACAAACATGGAAGTATATGATTGTAATAATGTATATGTTGTGCTCAGTGTTTAAGCGGGAGCTGGAGAAGGACGTAGCGGGCGACACCTCAGGGAACTTTGCCAAACTGCTCCTGGCCGTGGTCCAGGTCAGACTCTATTTACAGCTAAACTACTACATATGAAAATACAGTCTAAACGTAACGGCAGCATCTCTCCCACAGACCAACAGAGACGAGCCCACCAACGTAGTGGACTATGAGAAGATCGACCAGGACGCCAGGGTGAGCTCATTCAACTTTCACTTGTGGCCATACCTGCAGGTGAAAGCCAGATCTCTTCAGGCCACTGAGGTTAAGCAGGGCAGGGCTTGGTTAGTACGGTGATGGGAGACCTCTGTGAACAGCAGGTGCCACAGTGGGGCGGCTGCGGCAAAGCAAGCTGGACTTTCATCTGAAAATCAAGGCATCTTATTGGTCAATCCTTATATGGCTCATACCTCGTTATATAAAGCCAATATCAAATCAAAATATATATATAGTCAATGGGAGCTGGAGCAAGTTAGAGCCAAACCTTTTTCTCAAACACTTCCCTATTGGGCTTCATAGAGCTAGTGGGTTAGCATTGTCAATCAAACAATTGTTATATGTAAAGCACATTTTCAACATCCTAGGCTTAGTAACGCACAGTGCGTTACTAAGACAAGTGAAAAAACAGAAATAATAAAAATACATGAACAATACAGAAATAAAGAAATGTACATACAGTATTTTATATGCATATAAAAACCAAAAACTTGTCTGATATTAAAAGCCAAAGAGAAAAAGTGTGTCTTAAGGAATATTGTCGATCTTTATACAGTCCATGACTTATCCTGAGCCTTGTGTTTCTGTGGCAGGCCTTGTATGAGGCGGGGGTGAAGATAAAGGGCACAGACGTGGTCACATGGATCACCATCATGTCCCAGAGGAGTGTGCCCCATCTGCAGAAAGGTACTTATTATTTATATGGTTACATCCATTTCAAGTGCTGAGATTTGTTTTTTTTTCCTAACAAGAACATATAATGTAAGCAGTAGTCAGTCTTAGCAGGAGTCTCCGAGGTAAAGATTTAAGTGTTTACCTCTTGACATGAACCACGGCTGAATATTCGAGACAATTTATCTTTTGTCATTTTTCAACTTCAGTTCATTGTCACTTTTGTCACTTTTCTCAGTAAAAACGCCACAATACATTGCGTTCATGTTGTTAAAATCTATTTCAGTATTTCAGGCAGCTGCCAACACAACTCTACAAGGAAAATGAGAATATTTTTTGAAAGATTTTAAAAGTTTCAATTGTTCAAATGTTTTCCCAGGTCATTATTTGATAGTAATGACGATGGTGTTTGATTTGTTGTCAGTGTTTGACCGGTACAAGAGCTACAGTCCGTACGACATGAAGGAGAGCATTCAGAAGGAGGTGAAAGGAGACCTGGAGAAATCCTTCCTCGCTCTGGGTACGTCCACAGACCGACCGAGTGATGTCACCATAGTCTGACTGAACATAAGCTAGCTGGAGCCACTTTCCTTATATGGGAATTCGTTCCGCTGGGGCTAGCAGGCAGGGTTGCTGAGGTGGTCGCTAAGGCAAGCTGGAGTTTCCCCCTGTGAATGAAGGCATTTGATAGGTCAATTCTCATATCTGGATTTACAAAGACAATTTTAAACACCAGCATCATTAAGAGCGCTAAGCAATTTTTTTTTTAAAGCTCAAAATGGAGAGTAAGACACAAGCGGTTACTGAGCGGTTACTTTTCAATGTGGAGTCAGAAGGAGTTGGAGTAAAACTTTGTCCACGAGCACTTCCCCATTGGGCTATTCTACTTGCCAAAATTGGTCGCCCAAAGTGAATTATAGAATGTAGTAATGTGCAGCGCCAAAGGTGTGTATACAAGTAACATGCCGTAGGTTGTCCACCCTTTCTTCAATTCATTCTTTGAAATTGAGGCCAACTTCAACACATTTTTCCCAACTGAAGTAAAGTCAGTAGCATTTCATAGACTTACTTTTATTACCCTCAATCTAATTACATATATGTTACCACACACAAATGCTGTTAAATCCACTTTTAGTCACATTCCAAGTTAACTCTATACAGCAGCTTTTGCACTGTAGAAACTGTTCTCAGTTCTTGGTACGAGGGAAAAGTGTAAATTTGACTTTCCTTATTGCATAAAGCATTTCAAACAGACATTAAAAAACCACGTAACCATCACTCCTGTGTAATGGTCCTGTATTCTCAATATGGGCTAAATGTGCATGATATTTCAACATTTCTCTTTTCTCGACCTTTCTCAGTGGAGTGTTTCGAAAACAAGCAGCTGTATTTCGCCAACAGACTCTTCGAAGCCATGAAGGTGACACTGGAACTTTACATTACATACAAAAATAATCTTAAAGGTTTTTCACTAAATGTATTTCACACCCCAAGTGTATAATAATAGATTTGTGTCTAGTACTTGCTGGACTATGACCCGCTACCTTTACTGTAAATGAGTACGTTTGTAATAAGTAAAGTGAAAACAACACGCCAACCTTTCCAGCTGTTGTCCCGGGTTGCAGGACTAGATCCAGGACTAGATCCCAGGATCCAGTCCTGGATCTTCATCCCGTCCGTCCGTGTGAGCGGATCCATCTCTCAATGTGGGCCTCCTCAAGGTTTCTCACTTTTTTCACACTGGGTTTTTAGAGTTGTTCCTCTCTAATACAGGAGGCTCTAAGGACAGTGATGATCCAGGACCCTTGACACTTATGGACCTTTTTCAGTAGCCCCTTATGGAACAATGGCTCTGTGTGTTTTTATCATAGAATTTCTTGAGTTTGAACTGTTTGATTCTCTGATCTGTGTTGGCGAATTGAATAGACAACTTTGTAAAGTCCTCCCAGATAACTACTGTTGTGATTCTGGTCTATATAAGAATACATTAAAATGAATTGAATGGGCTCACTTGAGGAAATGGCTGGAGTCTAAAGTGCTCCTGCTTTGGTTGGAATGAAAACCTGCAGCCACACCAGCCCTTTGAGGAGCGGTCTGACTGCACTGCTGTGAAGAGAATGATAAAACCTCTGTACATCATCCTCATACGTCCATTCACATGCTCTTGTGTGCAGGGTAAAGGGGCGAAGGAGAAGGTGGTGACCCGCATCCTGGTGTCCCGCTGCGAAGTGGACCTCATGAAGATCCGCACCGAGTTCAAAAGGCAGCACCGCAAGTCTCTCTACCAGACCATCATTGTGAGTCGCATCCACAACAGACAAAGAGGACTAACAAACACTGTCGGCCGGACCTCATATGTCAGAACTAATGACAGAGCTAATGTCAGAATGTGTAAGATAAAACTTGACCCATTAGCATTTTGTCCTTGCTCCTTATGACATTAGTTTGAATTATTGCACAGATAGATGACAAGTAATCTTTTATCTTAAATAGATTCTGTGTGATGTGTGCATAACCTGAGTCCTTTTATTTCTATCCTGCTGTAATGTGCGCCACCAATTCCCCACTAAGGGACAAATAAAAGTTTTATCTCATATATTTTCTTTTTTCCAACAGGAGCACACCAAAGGAGACTACCAGAGAGCCCTGCTGAGTCTGTGCGGAGGAGACGACTGAACGACCGCCACCCCCACTACCCCCACTACCCCCACCACGTGCCTCTGCCCTGCCCCTGCTCTGTCAATGTGCATTTAATAAATGTCTAGAAATGTTTCTCCTGAGTGCAGTGTGTGTGTATCTCCAGCAGAGGGCGCCAGACTGCTATAAAAGAGGTCTGCTCAACTTAACTAAAAGGGGCAAAAACTCTTCATGCACGTGTGGGGACAGAACTTTGACATATTGACACGTGTAGAGCCCTAAGCACATTTAAGATTATGCCTTGGTAGCTAGTGGTGTGCTACGTGTTTGTTTGATACATAGAAATATGTTTAAAATAGAAAATATAGTTCTTTTTAATATCATTTCATATTCAATTTTGTTATATTTCGAGTTTTAGAGATTTTATGATTGACGACACAATGCAAACAGAAGCATGAAACCCAACACATTTTTCTATTTGTATATATATATACATATTTTTTTTTCCTTTATTTTTTTTCTTTCTTGGGCCTACATTATTTATTTTTAAAATGACAATAGAAAGGATGCAAATATACACAAACACAATGGGGCGGGGCATAACAACAGGAAAAGTCCTTATCTGCTGCTCAACCCTATCAAATCGAGCAGGCTTGTCTCCTCTAGCAGGTGTTCCAAAGCTAAGGAGCCTGGATTGAAAAGGTTGATTAAGTTGGTCTTTAGAAGTTAGGTACCCCAGCTTTAAGTCCCACATGATAAATGGTCACAAAATGGTTACGTTCATATAGCCCTTTTCTACCTTTTCAAGGCTCTAGGCCAAGGGCTTCACATCAAAGAATCAATCACACTCTCTCTCTCATACACACACACTCACACTCTCTCTCTCTCTCACACACACACACACACACGCACCAGTGCACACAGACAGAGGGAGGTCAAGTGTCTTGCTCGACCTGTGGGATTTGAACTGCCAACCTGCTCCTGGCATCCATGACACTCAGGCTTCCCTCAGTGTGTTTGGATCGTGTCCTGAAGGTTGCATACAGATGGCAGGTATGTTAGCGTTAGCGTTGGGGCCTCCTGAAGCCTGTGTGTGCTAATGCCCCCTGACAGACCACACATGCTGCGTCATTAGCATGTGTGTGTGTTTGTGTGTGCGTATGTGAGGGTGTATGTGTGCCCGTGTGTATGTATGTGACAAAATTCACAAACGAAAAAATAGCACCAGACACAGGGGTTACATGAAAGCAAATATAGTCATGTTTCTAGAAAAAACCCCAGCCGGTGGATTGCATCAGTAATGTTCTTTAAAATTACATGTCTGTGTTTGGAGCTGGTAACTTTCAAAGCTGCAAAAAACAAAACAAAATTACAGTCCCGCTTGTGGTAGAGTAGGGAGTGCTCACAACAGAAAAACATGGCACATAATTATGCTACACTAATTGCTTGAATCAAGGGGTTTGTATCCTAATTTGAGTATATTCTGACTGTCTTAAAACAATATATAACAATGGGACAAAGCCATTTAGTCTTACTTCCAGAACTTTTGCTTTATTTTCTTATTTTAAGGGAGACATTTCTTGTATCTTTTTAAAACACGATCATTTTTCTTTGTCTCATTGGTAAATCTTGTTTTAGGGCAGTCAGAAAGTGCTCAAATTATGATACATCTTGCCAAATTCGAGCAATTTTTGACTTATTTTTCATCACTTTTTGCAGTGTGCAGAGTCAGGTACCAAAGTCACCAGCTTCCACCGTGCTGTAAAGTCAAGAAAGTTCCAGATAAGTGCGTGAAAGTGAAGTGAAGTTCGGAAAGAGCAGTGGATAATGATCCGGGCTTCGCAGACGTTCCAGGGGCCTCTCCCGCTCTCTGACCTGGACTCAGACCTGTGCAGAGCAGGAAGAGCCTCATTAAAATAACACAATCACACTCTAACAAAAGCCTGTTGCCGTCGGCGACTGCTCAACATTCAGAACCGCGCTCACCTGATCTCTGATGGAGGTAACAGCAGGTGGACAGACGGCTTTCTCAGTGGTTTTCATGGATATGTGTGAAGTGGTGAGAAAGTTGATTTTTCTTCAAAAGTTAGGCGCATATAAGAGCTGGGTGGATATTTACCAAGACAGTAGACAAAGATTGGGTTTATAAGTATATAGAAGCTAGACGACTTTTAAGCTCTATAGAGTACTTTAACATTGTCTTTTTTGTTGTTCTATCAAATGTATGTATTGCTCTAAGCTCAAATAAATACTAGTGTTAGGGTTCTGTGCAGAGTGTGCTTAGGTCTTAAAAATCATTAAAATACCTCACTGACCTCCTCCATCATCATTCTCCCACCCTCTGGTCCTCCAAACTTCTCACTCCCCTCAGGACTAAACACATAATCTTGGCGGGCCGAGCCTTCTGAACCCTGAGGACCGAGTTTTCGGAACCTTGAGGACCGAGATTTCTGAACCCTGACGACCGAGCCTTCTGAACATTTGCCTTTGCCGCAGCTGTCCAGCTGAGTTTGGACATGCCTGTTCTAGAGTTCAGAGAGAACTCTAGAACAGGCATGTCCAAACTCAGGCCCGGGGGCCAATTGCGGCCCTAAGTGCCATTATATGTGGCCCTCTGCCTTGCTAAACCAAAGCAGTCTTTGAGATCATAAACACAAGTCCACTGTGTCATCCATCCAACTTCAGTTCAGCCAATATAGCTTCCGTTAATGGCGCTAATGTAGCTGGTAAGATGGTAAAAATTGGTCATTAAGCCAACTTCAGCTCTGTTATAGATCATTGTAAAGCTCTGAACAACCCGATGCCAACTGTCAAGACAGTTTTTCAGTTCAGTTCAGTTTCAGTTTATTTATTGCCATTTGCAGTAAAAAAAAACCCACATTGGATCACAGTCTGTGATGTCGGCCCCTGGACTAGTCTGGCCCTCTTACCAAAAAGTTTGGAAACCCCTGCTCTAGAACTCACACCCACAGCCCATCACAAAACTCCCACTCACTACAGAACTGTAAATCACTTTTCAAAACCCACCCTTGCCTTCATTTAATTTTGTACGTCAATGTTTATTTTCATATGTTTTGTAAAGTGTCTTTGAGTGTTATACATATAAGTTTGATGTATTCATATTATTATTATTAATATTATGGGTGTCCTCCTCAGGTGTCTCTCTCTCCTGAGTTATAAGAGAACGCTCAGAATATGCAGATGAAGCTCCAGCGCTGTGTGTTTTTGATGGAGGAACACAAATCACCGGAGACATGACACTTTTTAATTTTGCTGATGAATGCGGCACTTCAGGACGAGCAGGATGGATGATCTTCTAATGTGGTCTTAAGTAGAGCGGTGGAGAGCCTTCTTCTGCGGTCTCTGCGTGTCGCCGCCGACACGTTCCGATCTCTGGGACTGACAACCACCTGAGCAAGAAACAACGGCACAAGTCGGATCCCATTTTTAATTTTCTCGCCACAGTGGGAGAGCTGAGTGCGAGATCCTTCTATTGTGTAGAATACTGTATATGGTGCATACATACACACATACAAAAGCACACTACAAAAAATTATAAAATATTAGGTGATAGTTGCTTGAATTGAGTCGTTTTATCCTAATTTGACTTAATAAAACAAGATTTAGCAATGGAACAAAGCCAAAAAGCCAAAAGAACATAATTTTTGCTTGTCTCATAGGTAAATCTTATTTAAAGACAGAATGTGCTCAAATTAAGATACATTCTGCCAAATTTGAGGACATTGTGACTCACTTTTTGCAGTGTGTACTCAATGATATTACAAGAAAAGTTAGGCCTGTCATAATGATTGAATTACTTTATCGACTTCAAAAAATAACTAAATTACAGATTGCAGAATATTTATGCATAAAATATACATCTCCATTGTATTGTGTCTGAATAGAATCTCAAATTAAAAATACAATAACAAAGCAAAGGAAGATTTCTCACCCATCATCTGTACTTCTTAGCAAGTTTTCCCGAAGTTTCGTCCTCAACCTAGCGCGGACTTCGAAGAAGTCCGCTAGGTTGAGGACGAAACGTTGGGAAAACTTGCTAAGAAGTACAGATGATGGGTGAGAAACCTTCCTTTGCTTTGACTAATCCCTGTACGACTGAGAGCTTACACAAACTTACAATAACAAAGGTAAGTTCATTGTCTGATTTTAAGATAAGATAGACTGTATTGATCTCACACTGGAGATGTCAGATTTGGCACAGATAAAATCACTCAGATGCAAAAAGACAGAAGTGTGCAAACATGTTAAAGGTTACAAAATATAGTCTGTGCAGGATATAATTATGTACAATAAAAAAATGGCAATGAAAAAAAAAAAATTAAATGACACTAACATACTATTCTTCGTGCATTGACAAGAAGTTATTGGAGGAGGTCTGGTCAGCTACGAAAAGTACAATGTTGATAATGTTTTCTTTGTGTTTAAGGCTTTGAAGGTTCTTCTAAGACACAGATGAGACAAAATGAGACATGTCTTTCCAAAGTCTCTGCTCCTGACCGTCTGCTTGTCTGTGCAGACTTCAGAGCTTTCCTCGGAGCTTGGCACATGACTGAGAGGTTTATTGCAGTGTTCTCCCTCCAACCAGACTTTCTAGTTCTCAGTTCTACGGCAGATGAATAAAAGGACGGTCCAATCACAGATCACCAAACTGAGAACACAGAACTCACAAAATATCCAAGATGGTGGCTATTGCAGATAGTGATCCAATGGAAAAACAGCAAAAAAAACTTGCACTGAAAAAAAATAAATAAAAAAAAATAACTCAAAGCATCCACATATTTTTTTAACACCGAAATTAGACTCTTAAAACTTCAACATTTATGGACATTGGTCATCTGTCCCTTATGGACCAATGGCTATATGTGTTTTTTAACTTTACATTTCTTGAGTTTGAAAGAAATGTAAAGTAAAAAAAAAAAACACTTGAGTTTGGGGGGCCACAGTAGCTCAGTTGGTAGAGCACTGGTCTTTGGACCCAATGTCCTTGGCCAAGACATTTATGACAGAGAAGCCATCTT